TCCAGATGAATTTATGTATGATCTAATTGTACTTTCAATTTTTCAAGATAGAAATACGTCAGAAGGAAGAAACTGCAGCATTCATCTCGGCTGATTTGTAAACAGTTAAAAAATATATAAGTCAGTTTTTTTGTTTTTTGTTTACTTGGCAATTGGCTAAGGTAAACGCCAATTTCTTTAGCCCAAAGATGTTAATGCAGCTGATGTTTCTAAATAAAAATGTGTGAATGAACCTTGTTCAGTCTGTTTCCAGTCTTTATTGAAGTTGCCTGCAATTACTTTTTAAATCCAGCAGATGTCGCCATTAAGTGATACAGCAACACAGTATCGACACAATTTGGGAAATGTGCCATACACCCAATGAGGCATCATCTGCCCATCACTATCCTGTGCTATCCCTTCTCTCGCTCCACTCTTCTCTCGCTCCACTCTTCTCTCGCTCCACTCTTCTCTCGCTCCACTCTTCTCTCGCTCCACTCTTCTCTCGCTCTTGCTTACTGTTCTCTCTTTCTTTCTGCTCCTTAAACACCTGTGCTACCTTCACTGACCATACTCCTGTAGGACACCATTTTCTCTGACAATTCCCCCACAAAGTACACATAACTTATTTTAAACAATGCTAACATATTTTAATGACTACATGAACTTTGAAATGTTAATTGAAATAAAAAATAGAACAAATGAACTTATCCTCACTATTTCTTATCATCAACTTCTCTGAAGTTTGTTTCCTATCCTGGTTACACAGAACAATAACATGCAAGGAGAGAAGCATAACGTGCATGTAGATGCATATAGTGAAAAAGTTCTTTAACCTGAGACCAGTTGTGCCTCGATCTGACTGTGCAAAGAAGAATGAAAATCATCATGGACAAAAATGCACCTCTTCTCATCAATACAGTAATTTAACATCAGTGTCAGAGGCTTCTTCAATGCAGTGGCCATAGATCACAAAAAGTCTTAAGGCTAAAGTTATCTTCAGTGACCCCTTGTGGAATTTTATACTATGACACAAAATATTAAATTTCCCTCTGGGGTCAGAAATGCAGTGTTGTATTGACTTGACTTGCATTTGAAATTTGTGACTTTTTTTTATCTTGAATGCAAGTTTTGCCTGCTGTTTGTCTTTCAGAAAAACACAGAAAGGAGGAAAAGCCAAATATAAAAAGTAAAAATAATTTATTTACCAGTTCTTGTCACAACCCTGTGCAGCCTTAACAATGGAGTAATAACAAGATGCTTTATACAGCACATGTTTTGGTCCTTGTGTGGATTTTCTGTTGTCTACTGCTTCTCTCTTCATCCACTGGATGGTGTTAAGAGGCTGCTCCTTCATGGAGGACGTTCCTGTCCGGATTCAGCGCAGCTGTGATCAATAATCTCCTCACTTAGCAGTATTTGAGGAGCGGTCTGCCAGCTCTTCGATACCTGAGTGTTTTGTCAGTTTTGGTACTCTGAGTAATATTTTCCCGTTGCCTCTCTCTTTCAGGTGTTTTCTTGTGGCGCCTTGGATTTGACCCACTGGTTGCCTGAGCCCTTCTTCACCTCAGCTGTAGATTCAGTGACAGTTCCTGATTTAACGACTTGCTAACGGGCCGCCCCTCCCCTCTCATCACAAGAACTTATCTTACTGTTACCTGTCCGCCCTCCACTGCAAAGCCTCTTCCATCTACCTTTAAAGAACTTTCAGTCAAGAACACACCTGTATCGTCACAATAATTCAGCTCATTAATAAATCGCCAACAAGTACAACGTAAGAACAAATACAACATTTTCAAAATATTATTTATCAACAGAAAATTTATCCTAACCAATCGGCTGTTTAAAAAAAATCTAATTACTTATATTGTTGAAACATAAAGTAACTGTATTAATTCAGTTTCATAACTTAGTGTTTTACAGCAGGGTCAAGTAAACTAAATGTTTTAAATTGATTTGAACATTTCTGTTGGTTGTATATGTTTATTTAACAGTGCACTAATGTTTAAAAGTTTGGTTTTAGAAATTGAAATATGATATTATTGGTTATCTTGTCTAACTCCTTGGTATATTTATGAGTAAGGCAGTTAGTAAAGACTTAATGAACCATTGGTTTCAGAGCTTTCACCTTTACAAACCTATTATAACATAAAGTATTTACATCACAGACTGACCTGCGATCAGATGTGTACTTGCATATTTTGTAACAACTTCCCTTATTCTCTGCAGCAGAATGAGTTAATTCATCTGTGTTATTAAAATTATTTCTTGCAAAGTAATAATTTCTGTTTTGTTGCCCTAAAGTGGTTTTAGACAAACAATTGCAAAATTTGAAAAAATACATAAACATGTCACAATTTGCACCGAAACAAAAGGATTTATAGTTTATTCACAAAAAATGTTGAAAGGATTTCGCTACACCAACTTCTTAGAGTGTCTGTTGTTAGAGCATAAAGTGGTGCAGAAGTTCACACCACTTCACGTTCTACTCAGAAACAGTTCTATAAATAAAAGTCATGTCTTATGTGGTGAGTTAAGCTGACATCTTTACCACAACAATATTTTAACTCTTCTTTGGCTTCTTTAACATCCACAAAATCAAATATGTTGTTTTTCTTTTAATCCATATCCCTTGAGCTGATCACATAGAGATCTATGCTGTGAATGGCTTTCAAATATTTTAAAGCTGTTTTAAATACGGTCAATCCATGAAATCTTCTTGATTTAACTTCCTGCCCAAATGTACAAATTAAAAGTCTGTGCTCTCATCTTCCGCATGCATCTTTGTTAAAAACCATGTTGTTACAGGTGCAGCAGTGGTACCTTTGCATGAATCCAGGATGACAACTCCTCCTGGAAGTTCAGTGATGACGATGGGGCGTGCATTGCCATCCAAACCGTAGAGAAATGAAATGAGAAATTTAACCAGTGAATTGTCTTTTTAACTGTCAAATTTAAACATGTTTGAAATCTTCCTCATAATTTTAAATGTGTTGTTGAGCCGTCATTAAGATTAGGTCTGGTAGTGTCCTTTTGTTGGTCATGCTTGCAGATGATAAACATGCACATGTATGTGACGCAGTGGCTTTGAGCTTTGATAAAAGTGGAACGGAAACTAGACAAGTCATCTGTCACGGGAATGAAGAAGCAGCTTCTGCCTGCATACCAAAAGTATTTCTTTCAACTGCAATTCACCTAAGAAGACAAGATGGGTGCCTCCAAATGGATTACCTTTTTTGTATGCATTTATTTGAAAGGTCGGGTATATTTTGTGTAATTTATAAATTGTTATAAATTATGAGATGCTAATTTTGCTGGTGTTGTTTCCCAAAATGTCTTTTCATGGGACTTTACTCTAGTAGAATGTTATTTATAAGTTACATGAAATCATTGCTTTGTTTTGATACTTTAATGCTTCCACTTACAGAGTCTGAAGCAAAGCCTCGTCCTGGACATCCACATCTCCGGCCTCAGTCAAAGGGCTCATCGGTTCATGTGTGGTGATCCCCTGCTCTTTTAACTATCCAGATCAAGGAAATAAATATGAATTCACTGGGATTTGGACAATCCAAATGGTGTAATTTTTCACTCGGGCTCTGGAAAGATGTTACAGCAGTACCAGAATCGCGTTGAGCTTGTTGGAAAGCTGGAAGGGAAGAACTGCTCTCTGAAGATCGACCCCCTTCAGAAAAGCGACGTGGGACCTTTTGATTTTAGAATTGAAATTAAGAAATACAACAGCTATAGCTACAAAAATAATATTGCTGTTTCAGTTTTAAGTAAGTAGCTCATTATTTTCCTCTTTCTGTTTTCAGTGTTGTTGTCATGTCTGACATTTATGAGCATCTAGTTAGTTCAAATAGAACATTTTACATTTGACCTTTGCACTTATTTGAAGGGTTTAACCAATTTTAGTCAAATTTGACCATATCTAAAAGTTTACAAATTTGTATTTTTGTGCACCATTGTACTTTAGTTTAGCTTAGAGAAAAATGTTTAAGAAACAGAACATTAAGAAATTGCAAATAATTTTAAAAAAATATAAATTAATGTAAACAATTAGAAATGAAAAAAAAAATCCTTTATATTTGTTTATGTATATGAAGCATATCCGTTTACATTACTTACTGATGTTAATTTAATTTATGACATAAAACCCTATTTTTTGATTTTAGACTACTCAGCTGATTAGTTTTATCCTTTTTTGAAAACTCAACAAGCCAAAGCATTTTAATGACATGAAGCATATTATAATTTACCAAATGAGCAAAATGCCCCAAATTAAAACTGGAATTAATGCAATATATGCAACAAATATGAACTTACGCTTTAATCTACAGTGACCTCTTGAACTAAATTTGAAATCATTCTCTTTCCATGTCCATCTTAAATGAGGCTTTGTTTTGTTGTTTGCTAAATTTGGGAAAGTTCATCAGAGACAAATATATTTAGTTGTACATTAAATCAAGTAAAACCTTAATGGGTGTTATTTCATCAGGAGCACTAGCCTGGTCATTGAGTTCCTATATTTCACTTTATTCACATCTTGATTCACAGCAGTGTGAGTTTTCTCCCTCTCGTCTGGATTCCTATTTTCTATGCGATTAATCAGCGAACAGAAGGAGAAGCTGAGAGTGATTTTCTGCTCCGTTTTAGAAGTGTGTCTGTAATTTTAGCAATGGTAACAGAGGAAGTGAGCAAAGCCATTCAGTAGCATTAACAGATACCTCATTCAGTGGAGGGCGGTTGTTAACAGTGCAGGCAATTTTCTGTAAGCTTCATCACATCAAACTGGCTCATTGCCCTTGTCATTAACAATTGGGTAAAAGTTAAAACTTCAGCAGAGTTTATAGCTCCAGCAAGCAATTGTTTCTTAATAGCCAAGAGCCCAGACTGTCTGAAAGAAACAAAGTGTCGAACAAGGATCTGGTTTTTGTACCAGGCTATATTAACACAGGATGAAACATTTTAATTTTCTCTTTTTGATTTCTGTACATAGGTCATTTTAATGCTCTACTCTGATGTCTCTGGTTAACACAGGTGAGCCAAATCCTCTCCAATTCTCAGTGGAAGAGGACATTAGGGAGGGACAAAATGTGTCTGCATTCTGCTCTGTGTCTCACTCCTGCCCCGCCTCTCCTCCCGATTTCAAGTGGAGTCACCTCGGAGAGGAGATTCATCAGTCCAACAGCTTGGCAATGCAGAGTGGAACACAACTTCTATTCTGAGCTTTCGGCCGACTCATATTGACCACAACAAGCCTTTACAGTGCACTGTAACCCTCAAGGGGGGAAAAAGTCAGAAGAAATCCAAGATTCTTCAAGTAAAATGTAAGTGTCGATAAGAATGATTTTTTTCATGAATACATTTTGGATTTAAAACCAAATTACTTTGTTCTTCAAGTCACAAAAAATGTTTTTGGATGAAAAGCCTTTTAAAAGAGAAGTGAAATGTACAGAACACAATATATGTGGCAAAGTTGCATTTTACTGCATGGTAGTTCTAAGAATTCACAGTTTTGCAAATTTTTTACCAGTAAATGTTTATCATGTCAATGTTGGTTTTTTACCAACCGGTAAAAGCCCAGTTGGCTAGTTTGTCAATAAACTAGTCAACTGGCTAGTTGGATGAAAGTTCATCCAACAAATTTAAATCAGCTAGGTTAAAACAAATGAGTTAATGTTCTGGTTCTCCACTTAAACATTGCGAGCGAAGAAAGCCAACTTTCAGTGATTCTTTGTAATTTTGTTTAAATGATGACAAATAAAACAGTTTTGCAAAGATCGTGACACTATGATTGTCATATTATCATGGCATGTTTCTAAGATGCTGTTTGCCTCTACATTGTCTGCAAACTGAACTACCAAATGAAGAGTGCCATTTCTGTAGATTTACTTTTTCACGACACTATTGTACCACATGCCGCCATAAACGATACAGTTGATATGGCAAGAATACATAGCTGTTTTTCTGTATTCGTGCAGATGCACCGTTGAATGTGAACGTTGAGTACAAGGTCGACGTAAAGGAGGGAGAAACTGTGGATCTCACTTGCTCCAGTGAGGCTCACCCTCCTGTCAGCCACTATGAGTGGCACAATGAAACTGGAGCAAAGATCTCTCAGGGAAACCTCTACATAGTGTCAAATGTTTCTAGAACCATTGGAGCAATGTATTGTGTCGCTATGAACGACGAGGGAAAAAATGTTTCACGGCCTGTCCAGCTCAATGTTTTATGTGAGTAAACAAATAACACACATTGCGACATAATATTGAATGAATATGAATTCATAGCTGATTCCAAATGCATTCTGGGATTTTTTTTGGCCTTTTACAGATGCTCCTGAGATAAAGACTGAGTCGTCATGCTCAGCAGAAGGCAACTGGTGAAGTGCGAGTGTATTGTGGACTCCAATCCTGCCAGCACCGTCACATTTAAGCTTTCTGACAAAATTCAGCCTGGAACGACAAGAGATAAAATGGTTTCTATACCACAAAGATTCTTTGGAAAGACATTGAGCCTTTCAAATTTGTGCAGTGTTTGGCATCTAACATTGAAGGGGAAGCCATGCAAACACTCTCTATACCTCATGACGGTATGACATGATATCAGATTTCAAGACATGGTGAATAAATTAAGCATTCATTGTTTGATTTCTGTCTTTACAGAGATGACGCTTTACATTTTCATTGCCAGTGGAGCAGCAGGATTCTTGCTGTTGGTTATACTTGTAGTGGGAGTTTGTAAGAAATGGTGAGTGAAATATAAATGTTGTTTGCTAAAGTAAAGAAGTCTGCAAACAATCAGTGTTACATGAGAAACAGTTTTCTTCTTTTTGTATTATACAATCTACATCACTCTATCTACCTTCCAGATACAATAATGTGCATTTTAATGTAATATGTCAAATATTTACAGAATTTTGAAAAGAGTGCTGCAAGGCACAGTTTTTGGCCTTATTATTTTTTGCATTTTCCAAATAGCACTTGAAAGAATGTGTACACAGCTAAAGTGCATTTTTATGTTGATAACATGATACATCAATTATTGCCATGAAGAAAGCAAATCATGCTGTTTTCTAGAACTAAACCTAAATCTTGGATGATATTGGTATTTCGGCTTTGGAGAAGGCCTTATTAATAAAGTATCATCCTGCAAAGATCTGGGTATTGATCGATAAGGTTGAAATGTTGAAGGGTTTTAATTTGGCCACTATTTTTGAAAAAGGACCTGGGACCTGAGTGTCCTAGATTATCATTCAGGAAAAGCCTGTATAGCCTCAATCTATTTAGGATTTAGGCTGAATGGATTTAGCCTAAATCCGTTTAAAAGGCAAAAACCCCAAAAAAACAAAAATGGAGCTGGAACAAGTGGCTGGGGAGAGGGAAGTCTGGCCTCCCTTTTTAGGCCCCAGATAAGCGAAAAAAGCTGAATGGATGGATGGATGGATGGATGGATGGATGGATGGATGGATGGATGGATGGATGGATGGATGGATGGATGGATGGATGGATGGATGGATGGATGGATGGATGGATGGATGGATGGATGGATGGATGGATGGATGGATGGATGGATGAATGGATGGATGGATGGATGGATGGTCCATGACTGCTTGTTAAATGGTTAAGAGTTCCTCGGCTTGTTTGAGAAAAGATTCTACGAACAAAGTTATGCACAGCAGACTCAACCTCTGAGAAAATTACTTTTATCTTACCAGCAGGGGGAAACCTAGAGACACTTCAGGATTAAACATGAGTGCCATGATGACAGAAAGGCCTCAGGAAGCACCAGAGAAGGCCTCAAAAAGGTTATCACTCAGCAAAGACTGAATTAAACAAACGTTTCATCTTACTCATAATTATTTTCAAAACATCTGATTTGTATTCCCAGGAACAAGATTTGTGATGATCCATATACTTCTGATATTTATATGAATGAAGATATGTATGGAAATGTTGGAGTATGTATTTTTCTCCACTTAATTTTACAAATTCATGAGGAAATACAATAATTGTATGTTGTATTTGTTTTTCAGATTGACTGGGATGATCAAATATATGCCAATGTCTAACAAATAAAGGAAAAGCTGCAGCCTGTTTACCAGCTTGACGAAAAATATTAATATTCTGGTGTGTAATTAATGGTCTAATTATATTTTAAGTTTGTTCTGTGTAACTATTTTGATGTGTGTTGCAGATGTTCTGTGCAGATCCGTTGTGCAAATGTAATCTACATCTCAACTGTGTTAACCAGGTTAAATAAAGGAAATGAATTCTGTATATATTTGGGTTACACATAATCCAAACATTAGAGTGCCTCATAAGGCACTTTTGCTTGCAGCTATAACATTTCCAAATAAGTCTTGTAAATGTATGTATCAATAATGGCTATTAAACTGTTATAAAAATGTACCTAAGTGTATTTTTTTATTATTCAAGTGGTTGGACTTATCTAGTTTCAACATACTGTGGGAGTGTTGCTATCTTTAGAATTTCCTCTTTTGGTTGTAAGATTGTGATATCTGTTTAACGTGTTTAAAAGTAAAACTATTCTAACAAAGTAGTTTAAAAGGATCAAATGATGATCCTGTAGTTGTTGACCTGCAAGCTTCTTAAGTGCAGATAAGTCAAACAATACTGTTCAATAATAAACGAAGAAAGTGTGGTTGTTGATGGGCATGCACTTTTGGTCAAGTGTGGAAAAACCCACAGTTGTGCATATAAGTTGTTCAGAATTAACTCAGAAAGGGAAGTTGCTACGAAGCTCAGTGAAATTTTTCAAAACGTCAACATCTGTTACTCAAAAAGAAAACTGAAAAGTTTCAAACTCGTTTTTGCATTTGGCATTGCCGTCCATATCAGCTGAATCAACAGCATACTTTATTGATAAATTCTTTATTGACAATGTTAAATGTTCGACTCATAAAGCAAGAAGTAATGTGAAGCAGACAACAGCCGCGTGGGAGAAATATTTTCCAGGGGAGATTGTTGTCAAATCAAGATGAGACGTCTTCACCCTCATCATTTTGCAGAGGCTCAGGCGTCTTTCTTCAATTATTTTCTTACAAGCAGAATCAAACTTATTGCTGGAGGAACTTTTGACATAGAGGCCACTCTATGCCGGTGTTAATCAAACACTCCTGTGCTGTAAATCGATTCCCCCAGTGTTGTCCTCATCCTACAACAATAAACAATTGACATTGAAGTAGAGGATAAATTAAGTTTTTGCCTGGTGTTTTTCTAAATTAGCGCAATTATGCCTATATGGCAGCATGATGATACGAGACTGTGCTTAAAATGAAACATGAAGTGTGTCTTGGTTTCTGTAAATCCCTTTTCATCTGGTGCTGCCGGAGCACCGAAGCATGCTTTGTTACCCCAGTGCAACAGAAACAAAGCATGCAAAGAATGAAGATCACCATGTAGAAGTTAGCCATGCATAACTATGTAATATGTTGTGTGATACAAAAGCATGGAAAACAAAGAAAATAATGGCAACGTAATTTTTATTTTACTTCCCCTTTTTTCTTTTCGTCAGTGGAGTTGACAGACTACTTAAATATAATGCATCAGGGCTTTATCTCAACCTTTGAAAGACTATCATATTACGGTTAATAGAAAAAAGTTTGTTCCCGTATATATTTTATCCACATTTTTTTCGTGAGGGATTCTCCGTCTTGTAAAAATATTTAGTTGGCAGTGAAATTTACTCAATGAATCATGCAATGTAGATTTAAAGTACTATTTGAAGTGCTAAATTAAATACCCCATGTTCTCCATTCACCACAAATGGGAGGCTGCTGCCACAACAGTTTCCTATTTCACACATTCCAGATAATTGAAACAAAGTTAAGAGATAAAAAACAAAAAAATGTTACAATCTTAGCACTTTGATGAAAGCTTTAATACAAAGGAACAAGGAAACTTGTAGACTTTGGAGTATGATGTATATTAATAGTCAGTGTATGATCTTGCAGTTTATGAAGAGTAAAAGAAAAGTATTAACAAAATTAATTCATAAAACCTATTAGAAAATCATCAAAGGTTAAAAAAATTAATATTAACTTTTTTAAAGATTTATGTAAAGTTAAACTCAAAAGGTAATATGAATCAAAGCATGCAACAATAATCATGTCTTGTCTCTCTAAATGTTTTTTTTTTTGTTTTTGTATTTTTTTTGTAGTTTTACTAATTCTGAACTTTTCTGTAAAATCACTTTGTCATCATGGCAGATAGCTCTAAAAAGATTGCTCTAATTTAATTAAATATTTACTCCATATTTAGTTACTCTTCTTCTTGACGGAATCACAGAGCCCTTTGTCGTCTTCCTGCCGAAGAATGTCACCGTACAGATTATAGGCTTGTTGAAGTCGGATTCTTCAGGGGTAAAGGTGAGAGTCGACGTTGTTTTCCACAACCATTTATTTGCTGGTTTTTTTGACTTTGTTTCCCTTTTGCCATAGTGGTTCCAGGAGAATTTGGGAGGAGATGATGGACAGACATGAGTAACTGTGCAGGTGGCAGTCACTTTATCTTGGACTGCAACAGTCATGATGGGAGGCGCAGGAACTCCTGTACAATCGACAGTTTTCACAAAATCACTTGTTAAATAGTTATTCAAACATGTTTTAATATCTTAAAGTAAATGGTGTAGAATTACTGAAAAGGTCTCTAATAAACTCACGGAAGACATTGAGGGTGACCATATTTTTTAAGAAACTGTTGCTTTTATGTTGTGGAAGTTCGATTCTGAAGTGAAACGGACCAGTGTCGGTTGTTCTGACGCCAAACAGCTGCCAGCTGCAGTTGCCGCTTTGAAGGTAACCTGACATTCTGGTTCGCTTGTGGAACTCATCCGTTAGCTTCAAACTGGGGAAACTTGATGCAACAAGCGTGTTCCCTCTCTTCCAGAATCCCCGCCACCTGTTCAATATTTTTTTCGTCTTAGGATACTTGTATCTGCAGGGAATGTCCACACATGAGCCTTGAAGAACAGGGATTTTTGATGGCACTTTTATGGACCAGTCCTTGCTCGTGCCTAGAGATTCAGCCATCCCTGCAATGAAGCGTTAAATATTTTTCAGCAAGTAGACAGTGATAGAACGATGATATTCCATGAATTGCCATTTTAAGCCGAAGCTTACCAAAAACTATCAGAATCGGAAGCCACAATTTCAGCTCCATTATTAGCTGACGAGAAGTCTAAAAAAATCAACATAAAGATTAATAAAAATATAAGTCTTCAGTGAATTCTTCTTAATGATGATCCACTCACCTTGAAGTTTCTTTGACTGAAATTAAATCTTGTAAGATTTCAACGTATCAAAGCCAAAGACTATACCTCTGTCCAAATGTGTGGTGAGGGTGAGTCTTGTGCTTATAAAGCA